CGACTACTACGACGACGACTACGACAGCTACCTACGACGACAACTACGACTGCGACTACAACAGCTACAACAACAAGTACGACTAACAGCACCACTACGACTGCTCCTAATCTGGCAAATTGCTGGCAGTGCGCTCCACCTCGGTCATGTAAAGCCCACGATATCAGCTTATGTTTGGCTCTTCTACAAGACATGTCACAAAACATCGAGGTCAATCGTGCTTCGCCGCGCCTGGTGGCCTGCTCGCTGTCTTGCCCCCTGAGATGAAACAGGCTTTGCGCGCATGTTCTTTGAGCATTGAAGCATTAGAAAGCTTCTCCTTTTTGCTTGAGAAGTGCCGTGGCTGCATTCCGAAACATGTACACCCTCATGCCTGATCTTCAGCTAACAAGCACCAACAGGCACACAGCTCAGCACATACCGAATTCTGTGCCAAGCTTAACGACGACACCAAAAACTCCTCAAAAGACAGAGAACCACGACCCCTTTGCAAGCATCCACCAAGGACCCAAGACTTCAGAAACCCATCTACATTTTGTAACCAGTAACCATTCAAAACAAACAAACCACTGCAATTCTCGCATTTTTTTTGATCGCTAGGGCCCCGAAACATACTGCCTCCTGCAAAAGCTCCCAAAACCGTACATCGCTTGGCGAACCGCTTCCCTCGAAGTACGCAGTTCAGCGTGCATTTGGTTTAGGATGTGATGTCTGGAAACCTACGGGGGTGTTCATGCGGGACAGATAGCATGTTCAGAACATGTCAAAACTGTCTTGCCGCGACACCCTCGGAGGGCGGGCGTGGCACTTGCGGCAGCAACCTCACGCACGAAGAATAGAGGCACCGTTTCATGTATTCGGCATTCTGCCAATGCGGCACATATGGTGCAGGGTTCTGTGGGTTTTCGCTCTTGTGCGAACTGGCCATTGACGGTGGACATCTAAACAGAAAGGGATGTTGACACTCGCGCACGCAGCATCTGCAATGCTAAGAACATGGGACCAAGAAGATGATTGCATTTCGCACGGCGCATGCGCGAGCCTGCTCCAGACTGCTGCGGCCCCCCTTCCCCTTACACAAATAGTTCGTCACAACTTGGTCTGCAAACTAGACATGGGGCGAGTGCATCACGATGTCGCGAGGGCTGGCAGCAAGCTCATGCGCCGAAAAGCCTGGCAAGTGTTCTTAACATGTGCACATCTAGATCAATCGCGTGTCATTAATGAAGTCTCTTGTGATTAGAAGGAGATGAAGCTAGGGAGAATGCATGTGGATGCAGACTTCGAGGCTGCCATGAGAGCATGGGGCTTGAAATAAGGGTTCGCGTCGAGATCAGGTCAGGAGGAGCCCGTGCTTTCGTAGCTAGTGGTAGCACGAGGAGCATCTATCTTTAGGATGGCTTTGGTGCGGCCCAAAATCTCGCAGATCGACCATTTGATACTATATGTTATCGTATACTGACGGGCCGTAGCCCTGTCCAATGTGCCTTGCACTTCGGCTACGTTCAGGTGTCTGCTTGACTCCAGCCCAGCACACGCACACACAGGACTTGCGCAACTTCTCCGATTCATATACTCTAGTGCAACGTAATAGAGTTTTCTACAGGAGTTCCAATAGTATGAAAAGTCTGCAATCCGTCTAGCTCCCGCAAACTGCGAGCTTCGTTGTGCAAACAGATGACCGGTGTTTGCACAAGTTCTATATGGCCAAGCATGTACTCCATCAATATATGCTCTTGGGAAGTATGGCATGCTTGACTCTGGTCTTTCGCAGTCTCCCGAGGGCCCCCAACATAAGGTCCCAAAAAACATGCAGGCTAAAACTTAGTGACCCGAACGCCCCTGAGGCTTGAATTCAAAGTTTAGGCTTCTCCCACATCGAAGCTGATGCCTTTGCAAATTTGCAGCATCGCAATCAGCTCCTCCGTTTGACGGTCCCCCCACCTCCAAGGCCCTGCGAAGCGCGCCGGCGCAGGCGGCCTGTGAGGTCAGGAAGTGGTGTAGCGTTGGTTTGTCTTTGTCTTGCCTGAGACTTCAGTCCCCTTGAGCACGGTGGAGTTTGTATCAGCCGAGTCCCCGGCCACCAGGTGGATGCACCACCCCGGCACGGAGCTGCTCCAAGCAACTCCCTGCGGGGTCTGGCCTCAAAGCTGTGTCGTGACGCCTTAACCCAAGTATCTTCCAAAAAGAGTCGGCGGACAGGGGTAGCTGAGCAGAGGCTCGATTCTGCAGCTCATGAAGACAAGGCACACGTACCGCCACGCAGGCGCAGCAGGTGAAGGGTGCTCCCTTTCTCGAGCCGCTTGCCGGCAAAGATCAGGCGCTGCTGGCATGTGGGATGCCCTCCTTTTCCCACATGTGTCCAGTGTGGGGAGGTGACAAACCAAGCATACTGGGGCCATGCAGTGACCGTTACACCGGGATGCAACGGTCCAACACTACAGCCCTAGCAGGAGAAGAAAACCTCTACGCTAACTCGATGTACTATAGACTATAGTATACTATAGTACGAGCCATTAGACAAAGACAAAATGTAGCCACTCTCTGAAGCTACAAGCTTTCTCCTACGTGCAGCCCTCGCGAGAGTGGAGGGAAGGCATAACGCAAAATCCGAGAAGTAAAATAACACAATCAGAGGTAAAACATACCGCATTGCAGCTGCAACTCAAAAGGCAGCAAGTGTCGCACTCTAGGTCACATCTCCCAAGTGGGCCAGCTGACAGTTGCAGTCATGAGTCATGAGCAAAAGCAGCTCAACTGTTTCTGGGCATTGCATCGGGCGAAGAAGTCACTCCGATCCCCATTTTCACGGTCTTCAACCCCCCCAGTCGTCCAGAAAGTCACTCCAAAAGCACATGAATCCGCATACCAGAAAGCAGGCAGCAAAGCCCAGGAGAAGGCCCCCTAGGACCGCAACACGGAAGAGGAGCAGGAAGAGCGCAGAAAGGAAAAGCTCCCAACTTGGCATCTCCAAGATTAAGGACCATGGAGACACAAACTGGCCATCGTTGTGCCTTCCGAGAATCAAAGCCAGCTCTGCAATAGACATGCAAAGCACCGAAGGCAAATACCTCCAGACGGCTGGCACTCCCGCTTTCCTCTTCTCCTGCTCATAGTAATCATTGAAATACACCCCCACGAGAACTGAGGCGGCTCTGACAGCTTGCGGCAGAGAGAGGAGAAGGCTGCTGCCTGCGCTCGCGATCAGCGTGCAGACCGTGGAGAGGGATGCGCCCGCTGTCAGGTCCATGCGGAGGGCCGCATAGCACTGCACAATCGTGGAGCCAGAGCTCTCCACGATCTCCAGCACCTGATGTTCGTAGAGCAAAGGCGTTGCAAAGCCCCGCCGTAAACTTGCAGCCATGGCCGCAGCACCTCGGATCTGGAAAAAGTCACGTTCCAGGATGCAGGAGATGGCCACTGATGTGCCGACTACAGCTGCGTAGATTGGTTGGCCTCTCCGTAGAAACATCAGGATGGACAGGATGTCAAGCGCAGGCTCGAAGAGCATGAAGAAACATGACAAGCGCAGCTGGCACTTTGCACCCTCATAGTCGGAGTTTATGCCGATGCAACAAAAGGGTGGCTTATGCCTTCTGGAGGCAGCAAATGGGCTTCCAGCTTCGAAGCCCTCATCGTCTGGCGCAACGTAGTCCGGGCGGCCCCCTGGACGCCGAAGGCTGCGTTGTGACTCCGAGTCTTCCGCTTCCGACTCGTCCGACTCGTCTGACTCGGACTCTTCATCCCAGTGCTTCCACTGGAAACAGAGGAATGCGATGCTGCTGACGCTGCCGTAGAGGACAGCTGCCAAGTACATCTGCCAGTTCGATGGGCACCAGCCCAAGGCCCAAGCTGCCGTTTCCACTTTCCAGCACATCTTGAAGCTCGTCTCGACATCTTCGCCCGCCTCTTTCATCTGCCTCCAATGCCAGGGGCTGAAGGCAAAGGGGAAGCCGGATCCCGGTCCCAAGCTATCACGGCACCACGCTAAACACTCGGAGGCCACGGAAGCATTCTCCACCGCATCTGTGGGCACCACACGAGTGCAGCTCTTTGGCATATCTGTGTGGTTGTGCAGCCGGGCCGCAAAGGATTCCGGGCTGTTGACCCGGACTTCCTCCGGGGCCACAAAGTGGTCCAAGGCCGTAGCACCGAGTGCAACACCCTGGCACGCACCCCACACGGCCAGGCCAAGGGCAAGGGGCAGAAGGCAGCTCGAGATGAGACAGGCTTGAAAACCTCTCTTCATCAAGAACCAGGCCAAAAAAAGTTTAAACTTTTTAAGATAGATCTAATATATAGGGACAAAAAGTTTAAAGTTCTCCCATTGGCTATCTAAGAAACAGGAAAATGGATTGTGCCGAACGAAAACGCAGTCAAAACATGAATCGACTCGTCCCAGGCAATCGTTCAAGCGGCCCCTGCAATGCTCGTCTTCCCCATCCACTGCCATACCGGAAAGGGCGAGCGCAGGACTGCTCACTTCAGGCTTAAGCTCAGAGTCTCCCCCCCGGCGAGATTTGACCGGCCTATATTCTACATGGCTGACGCAGTTCATTCCTTGATGGGCATGTATCCTGCTACGGGTAGGAGTGTTTGTGCTAGACTGTGAACAAGGGGACTTGTGACCCAAATCCAGTTCCTGATGCCACACGCTTCATTCCAGAAGCCCAGGCCCTAAACATCACCGTTGCCCAAAGCTGCAACGGGAGCTGAAGCTGCTATATATCCGACTTTGGGAATCGGACTCAAAAGCCAGGCACCGTCTTATCTCAAACAGGTTTTGCCTGAGCTGAATCCCTCGACCCTCAGCCCGACAGCGAAAGGTGCAAACAAGGAGGTGGGATCTTCGCAAACCCTTCTGCTGCTTGAATGCTCTGGCCATGGCCTCGAAGCATCGACCCACGACTTCTGAGCCACGTGCTTGAAATGATCATGGGTGGTTGTCAAAATTATGGTCCCTTTTTGGGTCCTTATTATAATACGGCACCTATTATTTAGGGTACCCCAAAAGGGACCATAATTTTGACAACTACCCTCATGTTTGCCGTGCGTCTCCCACTCAACCCAGCCTGGGACCTGCCTGCACTGTGCAACATCCATTTGGCTTTTGCCTAAACCCTAAACCCTAAACCCTAAACCGTGTTACTAGACCCCAGAGACTCCCAAACCCCTTCATTAAGGAATAGACCTTAAATTGCAATAGGATCCCTAATATGATTTAAGGTGTATTCCTTAATCAAGGGGTTTTGGAGTCTCTGGGACACGTTTGCTCCGGACGCCGACCCAACTTTGAAAACGAAGAGCCAACGTAATGCACTCGCTGCCACAAGAGCAATGACCTTTCTTGGATGCAAGCCGACGATGCTTCGTTGATGGAAGCTGGCTTGTGCAACAAGAGTGAAACCAAATGGAACCCAGAGGGTGCCTCTTACGAGTGCAATGCGCCCAATAATCCAACAGCTGACGAGTCACAAGAGCCTGTGTTTTGAACCTCTGGACCGCAGCAACACGACTAGCCTTTGCCGCCTCTTGCAGATTTCGCAGTCTCAAGACCTTTCGGGCAATGCTATTCCGTCAGTCCTCGCTGAATGCCTGGCAACTGGCCATGCAGGAAGTGATAGGGCATCTAGCAGAGCTCAAGGGACCTACAGGCAAAAACGGTTCCTGCACCGCTTCCCTCGAGGCCACTCGGATCTAATTCTGCGCCGCGCCGCTGGTCACGAACTCCGGGCATGTCCGGAGCTACTGTGCGCTGCGCAAGTCGCTTCACCCCACGAGATCTAAGCATAGCTGCAGTGCGCACTGGCAAGACGCATCGAAAGCAAAGCGAGGAAAAATCAAAGCATCAAGCATCCTCACAACTTACTTAAAACCGAGGCCTCGTGAACACATCATTAACATGCTTGGCAACCATCACGATGCTGCGACCAGTGACACAGTGACGCCACAGGCTGAGAACATGAACATGAGCAGGGCCATCTCTCTTGCAGCGTGGGCCTCTTGGAGACATCCTCCAGCCGTTGGCCATAACCTTGCAGCACCTCGACTACGGCCAAGGACAGGCGGGGTGTTGCCTAGAGTCTAAAGCATAGCTCTAGTGTACGCTCATGACCTGGATTACATTGCTTGCTGCCCTAAACCCCGACCCCTGAATTCTCCACGACTGGGCTCTCCGAGGGTTGGTTTAGGGCTAAAGGGGTTTGAGGCTGAGGGTTCCGTAGGGTTTAGGGTTCAGGGTTTAGGATTTAGGGTTTAGGGTTTAGGATTTAGGAGGAACCATTAAATTATTAGGTCCCCAGACACAGTCGTACCCTAAACGGCCTGAAGAGCTGAGGCTCCAATCCCCTCGCAACATGTGCTGGAGATCTCTTTCTAAAACTCCATTAAGCCGACCTGAAGCCACAGCAAGCTACGCCAACAATAAAAGGGACCCTACTTGCTACGGTAGCAACAGCTGAAGCTTCGTTCCTGCCTCCTCCAGGGCCTGTACCTGGGCTGCCAAGTCAGCGCCCAAAGCCTCGCCAGAAGTTTCAGCCTTCTGACTCCGCTTTGCAATCGGGTCTAGACGAAACGGTTTAGGGTTTAGGGGTTTAGGGGTTTAGGGTTTCATGACCATGGCTCTACATCAGTGAGTCTCATGCATGCCAGGTCAGTGCATACTGTGCCTCTGGATGGTGCCAGGCAAAAGAGGTGAGGAAGTCCAGCTTCTTGACTCCGCGTCGCAGCCGGGCCGCCCCGCGAACTTTTCCCTCCTCACGGTGATCGGGGCTTCCATGGCGCAGAAGGAATGTCGCAGTCAGCATACCGAAGCATTAAAGAGGGAGCGCGACCGAACAGCAGTCGCCGCTCGCCTCCGCGGCGTCTGCGGCGGCCGTGGCCAGGTCCGTGGCTTCGCGGAGGGCCCGAGCCTCTGAGTTTCAACAAGGGACGGGTACGACGGGGACTGCGCGTGCTATGGGAAGTTTATCGCTAGAGGTTTGAAGAGCTGCTGCAGTTTCGCGTGGTCACGGAGCGATTCCAAGAGACCTTCCTTGCGCCTACCAAGTTTGGGACAACCTGCACGCCGCGAAACTGCTAAGCCGCCAGACGTTGTGTTCAAGCAATCCAGCATGCTAACACCCCGAATCTCTACTCGAAGATCCAAGAGATCCTGCTGCAGCTGCAAAGGAATTCTCTGCGACCCCTCAAAGCCCTAATATAGGGGCTTAGTAATTACCTATACTAATTTGCGGGTTCCTTTTTATAACGATAGTATAATTATACCCTTAGTACTTACCTATACTATTTTGGGGGTTCCTTTTTATAACTATAATATATAATTATACGCCCCCAAAGCCCTATTCTACTTATTACGGCCCCTACATTACGGCTGCGAACGTCTGAGCGCCCAAGCACAGGAGCCAACTCCCCGGCTGAGGATGGTGGCCACGTCGCCGACGCAGTGGCGGTCCTAAGTGAGCTGAAGATATCCTTGCACGAAGCCTTCCACCACGCAGATGTGTGTGAGGCCGGGCCCTAATCGGCCTGAATCAAAACTCGGCATGTTTAAAAGATGCTGGTGAGGTGGATGCTGCGCCAGGAGATGTAGGGATAACTAGATAACTCATTGGCTGCATTATCAGTGGAGTTTGCGTACGCAACACACACGCACACACATGCGGAAAGCCGGGCATTTAGACTTTCGTTCTTACCTTCGTTCGGAAGAAGTCCCGAGCCAACTCAAGACTCGTCGAAGCCGAACCGACACGGCTAGTTATGGCTGAGAGTCAAGTCCAACAGAGATCTGAAGAGTGTGTACGAACGACACAAACCCGCAGTCGTAGACAGTCCGACTGATACATTTCCGAGTGCACCGCAAAGTTCGCTCCAAAGCCGCCACTCGGAAGCTTTGAGGCCTCTGCCACACACGGGGCTGACATGTGCAGCCATGATGGTCTTACAACCTGGGACCTAGGCGCAGCAATAAACACATGCAAAACCGTAGCACCAGTCGGTGGTGGGTAGCAGCAGCAGCTCGTCATCATCCTCGTCCGTTGCTCTGTTGCAGAACAAATTGCTGTGTAACAGTCCTGTGGCAAGAGCAGCAGTAGAACGCACATCGTCAGCAATAGACAATATCGAATAGGGGACCGACACAGAAAGCGCGTGACAAGAAGTAATCAGCAATGAGAACGACGAGCACTGATGATGAAGATGTTGTTGACCATAAGAGCGATGTGCACCCAGGATACACGGCAATTTCAACAGTGGGAGGATGCACGGCAAGCAATCTCCCAACTGTTGTGCAATGCTCTACCAGTCTTCCCTTGGTGTACTGTTGCTGCCCCTGAAACCTTGCGGAAGCCTGACAAGCACACATTGCAGCAAGCTCTAGAGGTTGCACCGTTTCGCGTGATGACATCAGCACCTTCCTTGAAAAAGTGCCTGCCCTCAAACGGCCCCTCTTTGTGGACAGAATTCCTGCACTCCTCTGAGTGCCACTTTCAGCCAGGCGGCTAGCTGCCAAAGCGCTTGAAGCGTGCTGGTTGCTGACTCGTGCACTTGGTGGGCCTGGGTTCATCAGCTGAAGTCGAGTGAAGAACGCTGCGGGGCAGCAACTTGCAAACGACTGTGACGATTCTTTCGGTTCTTCTGGAAGTCGGTCTCTCTCTCTCTCTATAATGTTATAAAAGCGGCGTGAAGCCTCTAAAACACTTTTCTTGAGCTTAATCTTCTCGCTCGGCAAGATGTAGCCTTCGCTCTGTCGCGCTTCAACTCTCGCATCCTGGATCCGCATGTCTAAAAACACATGCACGTCCTGCGAGCGACTTGGAAGCTTACTGCGGCATCAGGGCTCCGGGGCTTTTGATACTTCTCGGAGCCCTGTAGAGCCTGGGCCTAGACGGCCTGCGTGTGCGAAACCCTCTGAAAGTGGGCCATCAGGCCAAAGTCCAATGCAATGCCTGGAAGGAACACCATAACTTTATCATCCAAGTTGCCCAAATACCTTTGCCGAGATGGAACATGTGTGCCTCGGCTCTTCTTCATTCCGTGGTCTCGAAGACTGCATCGTTTAGCTGTAAACCCTAAACCCTAAACCCTAAACCCATCGTTCAGCTGGTGAGTCAGAAGAACTGAGAGACTCGAGGCTCTTGCCATGCGCAACTACAGCACAAGGAAACCAACCTGTGCGTCATGGAAGAATATACCCATAGGCCCTAAAGTAGTCCTTTTTGGGGTTCATATGTAGAATCCTATAAGGTAACCCCAACAAGGAACTACTTTGGGGCCTATGGGTAGTCTTAGGTTTTTGACTTTTGTCCGAGGTCCCGGCTGCCGCCTGCAGAGGGTCCCATCTCCAGTCGCCGTTGAAGGCGCGGAGCGTGTGGACGTAGGCGAAAAGCGCCTGGCACGCGCGAGCGACGTTGGGCGGCCAACGGCAGCGGCTCGCGGCTTCCGCTGAAGGCTGGGTATGTTTGGAGATTTCCCAACATCCTGGGGTTTTATGACGTGTGACGTAATCCTGGGTGTCCATAGCGCGCCAGAGCGGCGCTAACATGCTGCCATGCCTTTAGCCGACGCGAACCCCCTTTTTCCACGCCTCGAGAACTGTGAAGACAACGGAGGGGTGCGCCTGGCGAGTCTTGGAAATGGCTGTGCCAGAGAATCACGCGTTGGACAAGGGCCTATTTTGCGCCCCCCCCCACACACACACACACCAGAGACATCTTCCCTGCATCGTCTAGTCCTAGTCCTGCATGCCATGAGTTTGCAAGTACCATGCGAGGTCTTCTTCGGCGTTCTTCTTCCAATGCCAGGCCGGTACCCTAAACCCTAAACCCTAAACCCTAAACATGGAGGAGCAAAGAGGACGTTTGCACACCAAAAGTCCCGGTCTCCAGGGCCTGTCGGCTCCCATCTGGAGAACAGCCTTTGAGGCAAATGTTTAGGGATATAGGGTTTTAGGGTTTAGGGTTATAGGGTTTAGGGTTTTAGGGTTTAGGGTTATAGGGATGCTGCAGTTGCAGACGGGGCCGTGGTACGTTGCCGTCAGTCACTAGCCTTGGCACGACCTGGAATCCCCAAGCTGCGCTTCCCCCACCTTCCGCCGATGGCTCTTTTGCCATTGAGCGAAACCTTCACTGAAACCTCGGGCTGGAAGAACCCTCTTCCCAGAGACTCCAAAACCCCTTAAGTAAGGAATATATCTTAACCTATAATAGGAACCCCAGTAAGATTTTAAGGTGTATTCCTTAATTAAGGGATATCGGAGTCCCTGGGGTGTGAGCTGAGATCGGCACAGAGGTGTCGTGGGGGATCCTGGTGCAGCGACTCGTCGCCTTCGAGGCCTCGTGGAACCGAAGTCGCTGCAGGGAGCCCTGGGGTTCGAGGATTGCAGGGTCAAAGTGCAAATTGGACTCATAGAAGTATGCATGTACATGTATATAAATATAAATATAAATAT